CTCCTATATGACCCCATCAGTGGCAAAGTGTCTGGGTAAAATAAAATGGTCTAAGGCAACATTAAAATTCTGTTGACTGGAGGGTGAGTGTTGTAACACATGACCACTATATCCACCGTAAGACTGAGAGTACTGTTTTAGCTGCGTACTAGTATTGATTTGGATAATTACAGGTTCTGGTCTATGCATGCCATCATGAAGTAGCCTTTAACAGGCCTAGGGGGGGGGGTAGATATTCGAATAGGGCCAATTGATTGCTATTTGCTATCTTTAATGTTTATACATGCCCCAGTGCAGGTATGCAAAAAAATTCTTCGAGCCATGGCGTGCGTGCTGGAGTCCTGAAGGTGTAGCTTGGGAGTGGGAACACGTACCTTGATAACTACAGGTTTGTGTTTGGAGACGTACAGGGCATGGAAGTCTTCAGGTGCAATCATGTAGGGCAGTTCCTCCACGATAAAGTCAGGAGGCCGATGCGCGCCGAAACGTTTCATGTGTCCATTCTTAAACAGCTCTTCCCTGGTCAGTTCGACTGGAGGCGTGTTGCACTCCGGGCTGTAGATACTTCCGTCTGCGCCATGGCAGGCTGGGTTGGTGTCGTCCTGGCGGGAGATTCTTGTTAGAGCGCAAAGCAGGAAAAGTAGCAGGATTTTTGCCATGGCGAAATGTGATGGGGGGGGGGGTATCTACCAGTCAACTTCTATGCCTCTTGGTACGTTGGCACAGAGAATCAATGTGACTGCGAGAGAGTAGGTAGCTATCTGAGAAACGTAAGACACGGCAACTTCCGCACCAGTTCTTGTGTAGCCTGTTAGACTGGATTTTTGTCGCCACTTCCGGGTACGTCACAGGCCAACTTACAGCCAATCAGCGCCCGCCGTGGCGGGGTCGCTGCAGGTTGGAATATTCCATTCAAAAAGTTCGGGAGTCGCCAGGTGGAATTTTCAATAGCTGGAGATATAGGGCGAAGTGGATGAAGGTTTTTTTTTAAACTCAATGCAGCGGGACAAGAAACTTGAATGAACAAAGGACAGTAAAAACCAGTGTAATGGTTTTGCTGATGAATTTGTTTCTATCTCGCCACAAATGGCATTTGAACTTTTAAGTATGAATGATCTATTATGATCATAGAGCGGGGTATTAACCCTTTATTATATTGCACATTTAGTGTCTGTTGAACAAAAGACATGAACGTTATCCCAAACGACTAGTATTAGTACATGTATTTCATAATCATGCAACATCATAACGTACCCAAAAACTGTCCCACTACTAGTAATTTCCCTTAGCACCCGCCAACATTAAATAGTTCGTGCAGAATTTGTGCAATGATGTACAACACTGGACTGAAATTTCGTGAAGCGATTTCTATTGCACCCAAGAAACACTAAACTGCGTTGCAAATATACATACCAAGTACTGATACAATGACAATATACATGTACTAGCATCTTTTTAACACAATACATTACGATACTTCTTGTCAACGGAGTAAAAGACTACTGAATACACAGAAGCAAATAAATGTTCTGAGTAAGAACTAGAATAAAGAAATATTCGGTAAATAAATATACATTTTTACACTTTACCCAGAATTAGGCAAACTTTTTGCATTTTACAGTGTTTATGTTGTGTTCGGTGTGGAAAAAGTCTTCTCCCAGTATGGGAGCGCCGCATGTATTTAAACCCGTGATTGTTTCCGACGGTCAGTTTGGAAAGCTTTGAACAGTTTGGTACCGCCCAATCATCAGTAGTAGGTGCTGTCCTGTTGTATGTCATACACGAGCGTGAATGTCCAGAGCACAAAGCCGCACTCTCGCCTGGCCCACGTGTTCACGCATCGGAACCCCATTTTCTCATACAGCGCTTTGGCGGGAAGCTGGACCTCCGTGGTGATCAGCTCTATCCTGCGGTACTTGTTCCTCTTGCAGAAGTCAATGGCGGTCTCCACCAACCGCTTGGCGATGCCCTGTCGCCGGTATTTCTCACTCACCGCCATCCGCCGTAACCAGGCAACGTCATCGGCGCACTCATTGGCTGGCTTGTTGAGAGACCTGAGGGTGATGGCGATCGTGCCAACCACCTGTCCATCCGCCTCCGCCACCCAGAAATTCCGCCGGGGTTTCATGTAGTTCCTCTGCACGTTTTCGATGTCGTCAAACAGCGGTCCCTTGGTCATCAGGTGAGCTGCTATGAGGAGAGTTAGATAGTACAGGCACAACAGAGCCACGAAAAACGTGATGGTGTACATCAGAGACAACGTCCACTGGTACATCAGAGCCGTCAGAACCAACCCGGTGGCGATCACCGAAGGACGACGCACTCCCACGTAAAAGGCGGGATCTACATTCGAGAAGAGCCCATCTACTAAGACTTTGCGAACCATTTTGGCGTCGGAACGCCGAAATGTCCGGATTTTTACACCCATTTTCACGGTATTTCATACCATCTGTGTCGGAGCAAAGTCGGAGCAAATATCACCTGCATCAGTTATTTGAGGACGTTGACCTTTGGCGTCTTGGCCCTTTGAAGTTAGATAGAACCATTGACAAAAACCAATGGGTAGAATAATCGTATTAATATCAGTAAAAGAAATAATTTGTACATAGATCCACCATTGTGTTCTAAGTATTTCTAATATCAAAAATATTTAAACTCTTTATTCTATGTATAAACCATAACTTTGATTTGACTTGGATAAGTATCTTGGGCTAACATTTTGACAACCCCCATTACTTTGTAGTATCCTCCACGCATGCGTGCTGAGTTAGTCTGCCATTTTGAATTTTCCGCCGGGCCAGTGTCTGAGTCATTCTCTCTCTTCAGACATTTCTACAGGTGTATCTACTCCAGAATCCTCAAGAACCAACCATGTCTGCTACCGACCCAAGACTGAGACAGATCAAGATCAAGACAGGGGTCGTCAAAAGGTAGTTCCTGAGACAGGTGTCAGACGATCTCAAACGCCAAACCACCCCGTTGGTCAAACAGATAGAAATTCAGGCGTCACAAATATTTGTTTTTCTCCCTCCCCCCGCGTTTATCTCTGCCAAATATCATAGCGTATATCTGTCTGTAATGTAAAAATCTTTAAGATGCTATGTCTTTTACATTGTTATGTTGAGTTTTTCCTGTTGATTGTAGAAAAATAAGATGTTGCACACATCTTACTTGCACCCTTACATAAACAATACATGAGTGATAATCTTATTTTAGGGGATGACTCATACGAGTCATGTTGTTCTGGACTGATACAAAGCCTTGGTTTATATTTTGTATCGAATTTTTAAGCTTTTTTTTAATCAAAAAGAACCGCAGATGAAAATGTATTTTTGTCTTTAGTTACTGTTAGTGTTCCTTTTAGTAAAAACAAGTTGTTCTGGTGGTCCCTTATAAATAAGTATTATGCAAACTTCTAAAAAACTCTTTCTTTTCAATTTTAACCTTCAGAATTGGCAAGGAGAAGACAATGTATGGAAAGGAGGTACTTAAGGAAGAAGAAAGACTTGAGAAGTTCAAGACTGAAGGGAAAGATGAACACGACATTAGAAAGCAGGTTAGTTTGTGTTGTGTTGACTTACTAACTTAAAATTATTAAACTTACAGTGGCAGTACAGAGTTAGTGCCACCATGTATGAATGTGTTTGAGTAACAAAAGAGAGCAGTAGTTTGTTAGGCTGGACCACATGAAGGTAAACATTATGTATTTGCTTTGCAAAAATGTTACCTTCGTACCTCTGTTATGATATTTATGTTTACCAAAGGAAAACTTCTTCTTCTCCAAACAGTGACCTATGACCTGACCAGTGACCTGATTTGTTGACGCCTGTCACCATGGTGACTGGTGTTGGGTTACATAATGTTGCAATTTCATGGTCTGCTCTGCTCCTGTCACCATATACTAGTACTACTAGTAGTACATGTATGTGAACGTGTTTGAGTGAGAATTAACAGAGCAGACCATATGTGAAGGTTAACATTATGCATTTGCTTTGCAAAGTTACCTTTCTAGTTACTAAGTATGTCTCTTTCTACCACAGTCAAGTCTAGTCTACCACAGTGGTATGCCCTTTAATGCAAAAGCACATCTGCCCTCATACAATTCTTTCCATTTTGAGACTTGCAAGCAGTCTAATACTCTAACAACTGACAAAGCAGACTTCCAGATTGTGATCAGGGGAATGTTTGATAGAAATGATTGAGTTTGTTGAGAAGCAGTTTCAGCATGGAGCCATCCTGTATGGTTGCCCATGGGAGATCGGCTGTAACAGTCTGTCAGCTCTACTCAGTAATTAGGTCTGTATGGTATTGAGGAGAAGCCTCGTCGCCCAATTTGTGTTGCCAAAATAACAATCGTTACAACTTAGGTGGAACAGATCATGTTGATGTTGGAGGAATTTGGAGTAAATGAGTAGGGATGCAAGACTTTCAACAACTTGTGAATGGTTCTCTTGATACAAAGAGTTTTGAATCCAGTTTCCTGGAAAAGAAATTGTGTACCACTGGAACCAGCTGGAAAACAGTTGCAGACTGACTAAATATAATTTTGCACATAAATTTTTCAAATTGCACCTAAAATTTTTGCCAACGTGCAAAGTATTTCGAGCCCTGAGTTTGGATTAGACATTTTCTACTCTGATTTAGAAAATAGAAAAACCTTGATACAAGCATGGAGTTAAAACCTCCTTGATGCAAGTATGTTTATATGCCGTGTTTAATGTACTACAGAGACATTTAACACATTAAGCTCCATAGCAGTCTTTTAAGTTTGATAGTTGTTTTGCTGCTGAGCCATAGAAGTGTACCAGGGCTTGAAATCCTTTTTTCTACATGCCTGAGGCATTTTCTATACTGAGGCATGTAGCATTGGAAATAACCTATATATATATATACATATATATACAAAGTCATATACATAAAAATGTATGTATGTATGTACGTATGTATGTATATATAAACCATTTTAATTCTTGTTTAGCATTTTGCAGCTGCTCATCAGCAGGACAGAAAAAAAAATTCCACCGACACTTATGGATCCAATACTGGGATAGTGCAGGTTAGATGCAGGCTAGATAGGCATCGAAAATACCTGCACAGCTCCTGTACTAACTTGCATATGCAGGTGGTATTTCAAGCCCAGAATGAATAAGAATATAGAGATACTGCTGTCCTGTATCCTGTCTCTTATTCCATTGTTCTGTATCATACCATTTGTAGGAGGAGGTTTTACAGGAGTCCAAGATGATGATCCCAGACTGCCGCCGCCGGCTGATGGCAGCGCATGAAGAGCTCACGAAAATGCTGGTGAGTTTTGGGTCAGGTGACTTGTGTGTATGGTAGAGCAGTGGTTAAGATAGTATGTTGGCAGAACATACTGCATCTGTGCCAATATATGTGCATATATATATAGCCTCCTGTGCAGGCCCCGCAGCGGTGGGGAAGAGTTTTTAACGCATTATTTTAATATAGCCGGCCATCCTATAGCTACATAGCCGCCGAGAGAAGGTTCCATTCCACCCATGGAGCCTGCTCCCATTCGGCAAGAAAAAAAGGAAATTAAAAATCACCTTAGACAAATTGGTATGGACCCCGGAGCGCTCTCCGCCAGCCGACGTTGTCACGCCCCCGTGGGCATGGCTGGACAACTTTCTAACGGTCAATGGCTTCACTGTGTGTTTGAAAAAGTAAACAAAAATCTTACCGTGTTGCCTGGCTTGTTGGTCGCCATGAATGCGAGGGAAAGAGGCGAGCCGGCGGCTAAAGACATCCAGGGATTTCTCCAATTGAGAGAGGGTCGCATTAGCGATACTACCGGTAGTAATTTTTTGCGATCTCATATGCCCCCCTCCCCCGCTTACGATCCACTTTTGTGCGCTGAAGATCCGAAGTGTACTACTCGATAACTACAATGTTTCTGATGAATTTCAACAAGTTGAATAAGTATACACCTATAGACTTGTACAAGTTTTGGATTTTTTTGCTGTTCGACTGGCCTGCCATACGTTCTCTCGCCTGCCGCAGATAATTTGCGGACGGGTGTGAATTGCTCGTCATGGTCATGTGAATTGCTCGTCGCTGGCATGTGAATGGGCCCTTCGAAAGACTTTTCTAATCCCCTTTCCCTTTTTCCTCGCCGAATGGGAGCAGGCTCCGTGGGCGGAATGAAACCTTCTCTCGGCGGCTATGTAGGATGGCTGGCTATATTAAAATAACGTGTTAAAAACCCTTCCCCACCGCCGCGGGGCCTGCACAGGAGGCTAATATATGATATGCATTGCACTTCAACAGGATGTCTCATATAAGGCTGCATTGCATATTTAAGGAAGATATCCCATCTGTAGTTTTCAAATGTTGTGACATTAAAATTCTGTGATAAACATTGATCTAACATCCAATGAGAACCATGAAAAATCGAGGCCCCTAGCACACCTAGATATACTTCTCTAACTACAGACAACTTAGCAGTCTCTGAGAATTATGCTCCTTTTAATATTATTATGCTTGTTTCTGGGATGTATTATGCATCTTCCACTGAATAAAGTTACAGTATACTTATCTTGCAATTGGATTATGCAATCTAATACCCAATAAGTTCTTAAGTTGAGTAGTAATGAAGGATTATGATGCAGGTTGTAAGGGTTTAAGTACAGACTACAGACAGACTTTTTTCTGTCTTGATTTATGGAGGGCTGCTATGCACTTCTTAAAGGATCAGAAGGGAAGAAGCAGCTCTATTAATGAATGCATCACACCTATCCATATGCAAAACTGCTGCTGTATTTGTATGTATGTATGTGGTTTGGCAGTATAATTCAAGAAGATTTGAATGGGTTGTTGTGAAATTTGGTGTGTGTTTAAGTCATGTATGAAATGCAAACAGTTAAATGTTTCTTGCTCATGTTTCTATAATTACTGTGACAAACAGGAGGAAGAAGCAGACCTGAATGAGACAGAAGAGTTCAAGGCAGCTCAGGAGGTCCTAGAGGATGCATCCAAACAGCTTGCAGAGGTCCAGTAGGAGCATCCCAATAAGCCTGTAAACCCAGGCTACAAGTCTTGCTACAGTACACACATGTGGTCTTATGTTACCTTTCAGTGTGGCCTCCTGGTTTCTGCACTGCTCCTTTTCCATGTATGGATAGTATCCCATAGTGCATTGTTCTCTCTCCAAATATGGTAGTAGTAGTGTCCTACCCTACACTGGGAAGAAAAGGTGATTGACATGAGATTTCTGAATGAAGAACTTTCTAGATACTGATAAGGTAACTTGGGGTGATTAAGGATTATAGTTAGAAATCTTGAGCTTTATAATTCTGTCTACTAACTATGCAGGGTTTGTGTGTGTAAAAGGATGTAATTCTAGAAAATCTGAGCAAAAATCTGAACTGAAGACAATTTATTTGTTACTTCAGGATGTACTGAAATAATGGTAACGGTACTAACCATTTTCCAAGTGTAATTGTTTTGCACTAGTGAGTAACTTTACTTCTCAAACAACAACATTGAAAAACAACATCTTTGAAATAACAACTATTCACCAATGCATTATAGTCGAAACCTGAGAGAGAAAAATCTTGCATTGTTGTGGCTGCTGTTGGTTCTTCGATTATCTACAATCTTGTCACTTTTTAAACAAAAATTGAGTTTTTTCTGATTCCATAATGTAAAGCTTATAGTGCACTGCAGATTATTGAATGGATCTTGAACTATAGATATCAATGTTTGATTTTATTTAATGTGTGGGTGTGAAATAACATTCCATGTTTTGATTCTGAATTAAGAAAGAATACAAAAAGGTTTTGTCTCAATCTGATTCTTGTTTTTAAGTCACTATTATCAACTTGTTGAAATGAACATATTTACAAGCATAGCATAGGATTCATACAATACTCCTAGTTGGACCACATATCCACAGTCTGACCTCTCTCTCCACGCATTTCTGCACAACAGTAGCTAAACATGCTGAACACCAGCCAACCACAGACTCCCGACTTACTCCCAACCATCGTTGGGGAGTTTGGCAGTGTTTGGGAGGCCATATTTGGCTTTAGTATGTGTGTATTGTTTTCCCTAATACTTCCTACTCTTATGTCCTATAAGCAGGATACCTCATTGGCTACGCCTAGAAGAAGTCCTCGTATTCTGTCATGCTGCGTCTGAAAGCCTTTTAATTGATGGTCGTTAAACCAAAGGGAATTGTGATGAAGTGGTTCTTAATGTGTCATATGTCGCGTGTTGTGCAGGTGGTGCGAGCATGGCGTCAGTCTAATCCCGAATCTAACTCTCGTTAGAGCAAGTAAAGAGCGGTTATGAATTGACTTGATTGAATGATTCCAATAAGAGGAATATAATCGATATAACTAGGGGGAGAGAAGACGGAATGTTATTCAATAAAGTGTAAGCCCGATGGCAGATACTGATATAGACGTTCCTGTTCAGGTGTCTAGACTGAGACTTTGGGAGGAAACGTTGGTACGAATACGTTTGGGGCAAAAGTAAGATACTAGTAAACCTTAAGGCCATTCGCTTCCGAATCAGCAGGAGTGAAGCAGAACCAGGCCGAATGAAGAATTCGCAAAATCGCGTCACATTCAGGAAACCCTAGTTCCTTCACACCCGAGGCGGGGTGAGCCGGATTGCCGCCTGAATGATTTTTCAAAAATTCGTGGTATATTCCAAATATTCAGGCCCATTTCAGTTCTACGCGGAACACCATCGGAATGCTATAGAATGCAGCCATACTAAAGTTAGAATACACTTTTGATGCTGTTTGATATTTCTCCACTTCAAATTCACCACGAAAGTTTTGAGCATGTCGAAATTATTACAGTTCTGTGCAAGTGAAAGTGGGTCCCGTAAAAGTAACCGCAAAGCGCTCTATCCTTAGGTTGTATAGGATAAATTTTATCTGCTGCGTTTAGTCCAGATTTGTACCTACAAGAGCCTGTTGTGTTGAATTAGGAACATTTATATTGAAAATAATTACTTTATGATCTTACCTCCCTCTACAGTGCACCTGGGGAGTATAGTGATATGTTTAGTCTGTTGTGAAGGACAACTGAAAATAGCCTAGATGCCAGACCCAAAGGTGCAATCTCAGTGTGCAACACCTTGCACACTGAGATATTTTGTGTCCAGTGTGCTTTGGGTCTGGCATCCAGGCTAAACTGAAAATAGAGCGGGCGGTAACTGGGACACATCGACATCATATGTCTGTTTGGTACATCTAAGGTAATCTCCAGACAGACGTACCGGTAGCATGACATTAGGCAAAAAAATGCAAAAGCCAACGAATTTTTGTTTGCCTATTGCCATGCCACCGCGTAAATCTGCTTGGAGATTACATCTTAGCCAAAATGCACCATGTTGTCTTGACCATGTTGATGTGATTTAATTTCTTGTGGCTGTTATACCCATGGCCCCTGACAAACAGAGCACGGACCTGAGTGTGATCTACGGGAAACAATAAAACAAAATAAAAATAAGATCATTGAAGAAAGATCCAATGATCCAAACACATTCGTTTACGAGTTTTGGAACATGTTCTGCTGAGACTCGGTTTTATTTTATTTTATTAAAATTACATCAGAACAAGATCACCCAGGCAGCGTTGAGACACCATCACTGTGCTACGTTGCCATATCGGTATACAGGCAGGGTGTTAAATTTTTTCTGTTTTACTAGCCTGATGGAAGTTTCCACCGAGATTTGGCCCAATGATGATGATGATGATGATGGTTATTATATTCATTTATTGGTTTGGCTGTTCAGCACACACAGTCAGGGCCGCCAAACTCATGACGTAGTCAGTTTGGTCGTTTGAAAACTTTCTAACGCAATCCCAGAACTTACTTAATATTACGCTCAGAAACTTTGAAAAGTCTCGTCGTCGAAAGACGGATCGTTGTTTTTCCAGAAAAAATGTCGCGTCGTCAACAAAATCCCGGTTCATTTGGCACTGTCACGCCTCCAGCTGCGAGCAGTTGACTAATCGAGGCACAACCCCGCGCGATAATTGTCGCAACATTCCGGATAAATGGCGAATAAACGGCGCGAAATGAGTTGAGCGAGAGCTATAAATTACGCCAACGGGTTAAGCATACATTATGAATTAAGAAATCATTTAATGTGATCTACTAAATTATCCATCTCGCGAGTGTAACGTGTACCGGCCCGCCCCGGCTCCCTCCAAGGTCGGGGATTACACGTCATTTATCATGCGCTTTGAGTCGCGATTTTTCATCTATTTGTTTCATTAAGCGAATGAATATTTGGGGAGGGAGGGATCATTGCACATTAAATAATCAGAGCTTCGGAAGGGTGAGATCGGCCCGGAGTTGAGACAGGGGAGGGTTCTACTGTTTATTTCATGCAGTCGGATTTAAAGTTGTTAAGACAACTTCAGACGGGTGTGTGCAAAGGCATTCTTTATGATGATTAAAAATGTCAAACTATATGTCTGTGGCGTTGCGTGTACGTCGAGGATGAACATTTTGATATTTATGTTCCAAACTTTTTCATCCCTCCGAGCGGCAACAGAGTCAGCGGTCTCGATGATTAACAAAATAATTATTTGTTTTCATTTGCGATATTATTTCTTGCATTGTTCCTTTTATACCGACGTCAAACGTTCTGATCGTTAAGCCTCGGCCACATACATCGTACGGCGCACCTACATGTACGATGGAGGGTTTTCCGCGATGGTCGTGTCTACATCGTGTAGATTTGAGAAGAAACCGATAGAATAGTTTAAAAATCAAACTCCTCGTCAAACCTTCGACGTGCGTTGCGAAACCACATCGTAGGTGCGTCGATAAAAGAGGGCAGCTTAAATTATCATTATCATGTGTGACCTTTTTCTAAGCTAAATGGCACTATGTCGTCAGTAATTTGTGCCCTGGTCTGTTCTGCTTAAATAACCATACAAGACAACGCCATATTCTGCAAGCAGCGCGATAATTTACGTTTTCCCTATTGATGCCTTTTACTTCCTCGCACAACTGCATCAAACAGGACATAAAAAAGAAAAACTTACCAAAAGGTTATTTTAGTTCAATTTCCCAGCTACACTCTCCAAAACAAACTCAACTTCTTTACTGAAACCGCGGGTCTAGCATATCCTCTGGAACATTACCGGACCCCGTGCCCTGATGAAGGCATTATCAGTCCGTACTTGACTGCACATTACACCTATTGTATTCCAGCAGCCAACAACTCCCGTGGCCGGTCTCCGTACGTGATACAGACAGAACCCGCCTCCCTCCCCCAGGACAAGCCCAGCTCCTGACGGCGCTAAACACGACCTGTACTTCAGATCGACACCGGTCCCCCAGGAAATAACCGATGCGCGGGTGCCCGTTGCTGAACACGGCTCGGCGCGATGTTTGACAACGTGTTCATTAAAAAGTGATTACATAGCGTGAAGACACGCCGATTCTCCACGCCCAAATCTAGTCTGCAAACAAAGAAAATCTGTCCTGATGAAGCGGGGATGTACAGAGGTTGTTTAACGGCGTATTTGCTGAACGGTTCGGCCCCGTCGTGTGTTATGTTATTTCCTCATTGTTGGACAAGTCACCCTCGCCCTGACCCTGTAAAAGTCGGTTGGTCTGGTCAGGTAATGGATAATGGTTCTATCACATCACGAGGTGCACAGATGGCGGGTGTAAAAGAGGCAATGATCTCTATGTGAGACTCAGAAAAGATACAATAAATAAACTTTATTGCCCAACAATTGTAAGGTAGATGAAGGTAAAGGTAGTCCCATTTTCAGGCCATAGGAGCAGTGGGTTGTTGATCCACTGTCGACGTCGAGGTATTGGAAGGCAGAGCCCATCCCTCACCTTAGCGCACCCCTCTCCTTCCACCTCCTTTTAACACTCCAACCAGCAAAGTCAGGTACCCATTTTGTTAGGAGGGAGGAAAGTCGTGTAAAGTGCCTTTCCCAAAGACACCACGTCTTGAATGCCTAGAATGCGAGGAATCGAACCCGCAACCTTTCGATCTCGTACCCGATAGCCTAGCCTTTCCACGCCACAACAAATGTACAAGGTACAATGCATGGCATCTACTGTTATAAAACAATAAACATACCATGCGACTGATCTAGCTTACACAGACCTAGGTAGTGTTGGATGAGAATGTTCTTTTACAATCATTTGGTGGAACTTCTAGCAGTTAGGCAATTTAGATACTGTCCTATATGTGTATGATGTATAAGTTATACATATAACGTTACGTACATTGCGCATTGTACAACAAACGACAAACAGACAACAATCAAACTATGCAAATCGTCTTGTGATAACATGTGATAATAAGTCGATAGCCATGTTAAACCTGTTGGCAATGAGGCCATGAAAACAAATTATTCGATCTGGGTAGAATTTACATGTAGTCGCCCCCCCCCGCGATCCGTCATCGGTCGCTGAGATTCGTTTAGTGTAATAAAGATCATATAAATACCAGATGTTTTATGTTTCCCGTTTCAATATCTCACAGTTAATTAGGCAAAGGTCAAAGGAATGAAATGAAACTTTCTCATCTCATAGTCTTAGACTTGATTTGATTACATAAACGTGGAATCTGCAAAACTCTGAGAAAAACGCTTAACTCTGGAGTCACTAACGAGGGCATTGTCCAAGTCCTAAAGCATGGTTTTCGCTGAAAGTCCTTGGCAAAGAAAACTTCATTTAGATGTAAAAACTACTGACATATTCATAGCCACTCCCACTGCAGCGATCAAATATGTGATCATTACGCCCTCAGAAATGTAGCAATTTCCTGAATTATTGAATATACCGTAGTC